GAAATGACAATAGTTAAAGTAGTGGCCGTAGCACCTGTAGTAGTTCTAGTAGTAATAGTAGCAGTAGTAGCAATAGTAAAATCAGCAGTAGTAGTAGTAATGAAAGTAGTACAAGTAGTAGTCGTGGTACCAGTCGTCGTAGTAGTAGCAGAAATACGGGAAGAGCAGGTACCCGTATTAGTAGAAGTCTTAGTCGTCGCCGCCGTAGTAGTAGTAGCAGTACTAGTCGAAGGCTGGGGTGAGGCTCTACCAGGCCCCGTCGGATAACCAGTCTAAAGCTCGCGACCAGACGGTGCTTGTAGCCAAGACAGTTTGTAAGCTGGCCGCGGCGTTGCTGTTTAAGTGGCCACGGCTCGATTTGAAGGATGTTGAGCGAGTGGCACCTGCTGGGCGGGCCCATGATAGGCACACTGACCGCCCCGTGCATGTTTGGGAATTTAAAGCAGGCAGATGGCGTTGCAATGTGTGTCTCACGGCCTCTCGGTCTCAGCTCCGCCCCCCGACCAGTGGATGTCCGGGTGTCCGCGGAGGGGGTGCAAGACCTCACCGTGTGAGGCGGATTTAACTCTTGCTACAGTCCAGCCTTGCTGGTGACAGTTCTTGTTGATGTCAAAAAAAATGAATCGTAGCAGTCGCAAGGATAGCCGTAGTAGCCGTAGTAGTAGCAATACTAGAGGTCGTAGTCATAGTAGTCCTCCTCGTAGTAGTAACTACCAGTAATAGTGGCAGTCATAGTAGTTCCAGTTCAAGTAGTAGTAGTAGTACTACTACTACGACTAGTCATGATAGTAGTACGAGTGGTAATGAACATGGTAGCAGTAGTGGCCGCAGCGAAGGAGGTAGTAGTCGTAGTAGTAGTAGTAGTAGTAGTAGTAGTAGTAGTAGTAGTCGTAGTAGTAGTAGTAGTAGCCGTAGTAGTAGTAGTAGGCGTAGTAGTAGTAGTAGTAGTAGTAGTAGTAGCAGTAGTAGTAGTAGTAGTAGTAGTAGCAGTAGTAGCAGTAGTAGTAGCAATAATAGTAGGAGTAGTAGTGGTAGTAGCAGTAGTAGCAGTCGCAAGGATAGCCGTAGTAGCCGTAGTAGTAGCAATAATAGAGGTCGTAGTCATAGTAGTCCTCCTCGTAGTAGTAACTACCAGTAATAGTGGCAGTCATAGTAGTTCCAGTTCAAGTAGTAGTAGTAGTACTACTACTACTACTACTACTAGTCATGATAGTAGTACTAGTGGTAATGCACATGGTAGCAGTAGTGGCCGCAGCGAAGGAGGTAATAGTCGTAGTAGTAGTAGTAGTAGTAGTAGTAGTAGTAGTAGTAGTAGTAGTAGCCGTAGTAGTAGTAGTAGTAGGCGTAGTAGTAGTAGTAGTAGTAGTAGTAGTAGTAGTAGTAGTAGTAGTAGTACTAGTAGTAGAAGCAGTAGTAGTAGTAGTAGTAGCAATAATAGTAGGAGTAGTAGTGGTAGTAGCAGTAGCAGTGGAAGTAGCAGCGAACGTAATAGTAGTAGCAGCACTACTACTAGTAACCATGATAGTAATAGTAGAAGTGGTAGTAGCAGAAGCCGTAGCGAAGGAGGTAGTCGCCGTCGCAGTAGTAGTAGCCGTAGTAGTAACAAGAGTAGCGGCAATAGTAGGGGTAGTAGTAGCAATAGTAGTAATAATAATAGTAGCCGTAGTCGTAAAGGTCGTCGTCGCAGTAGTAGTAGAACTACCACTACTAGTAGTCATGATAGTGGTAATAGTAGCCGTCGTAACAGTAGTAGTAGGAGTAGTAGTACTACTACTACTACTAGTCATGAGAGAAGTCATAGTAACAATAGGAATAGTAGCCGTAGTAGTCGTGGTAGTAGTACTAGTACTAGTGGTAGTCATCGTATTACTCGGTCGAAAGGTACTACTACTACTACTCCTACTACTACTACTACTACTACTACTACTACTACTACTACTACGGCTAGTCATAATAGTAGTAGTAGTGGCCGTGGTGAAGGAGGTAGTAGTCGTAGTAGTAGCTGGTGTTGTAGTAGTATTAGTGGTAGGCGTAGCAGTATTAGTAGGAGTAGGAGTAGTAGTAGTAGTTAGTAGTAGTAGTAGTAGTAGTAAAAGTAGTAGTGGAAGTCGTAGTAATCGTAGTGGTAGTAGTAGTAGGAGTAGTAGTAGTAGTAGTAGTAGCAGGAGTAGTAGCACTACTACTAGTAATCATGCTAGTAGTAGTAGTAGTAGTAGTGGTAGTAGTAGTAGTAGTAGTAGTAGTAGTAGTCGTAGTAGCAGTAGTAGTAGTAGTAGTAGCAGTAGTAGTAGTAGCCGTAGTATTAGTAGTAGTAGTAGTAGTAGTAGTAGTAGTAGTAGTAGTAGTAGTACTACTAGTAGTAGTAGTAGTAGTCGTAAATGTGGTAGTTGTAGAAGCCGTAGCAAAGGAGATAGTCCCAATAAGTGTAGTAGCAGTCGTCGTCGTAGTAGTAGTAGTAGTAGTAGTAGTAGTGGTAGTAGTAGTGGTAGTAGTCAAAGTAGTAGTAGTAGTAGTACTAGTAGTAGTAGTAACAGTAGTAGGAGTAATCGTAGTGGTAGTAGTAGTAGTAGTAGTAGTACTATTAGTAGTAGTAAAAGTAGTAGTAGTAGTAGTAGTAGTAGTAGAAGTAATAATAATAGTCGTTGAGGCCGTCGTCATAGTATACGTTATAGTAGTAGTACGACTACTATTACTACTCGTAGTCATGAAAGTAGTAGTAGTAGTAGTAGTAGTAGTAGTAGTAGTAGTCGTAACAATAGTAGTAGTAGTAGTAGTAGTACTACGACTAGTCATGGGAGTAGTAGTCGTAGTAGTAGTAGTAATGGTAATAGTGGTAGTGGTGATAGTAGTAGTAGTAGTAGTAGTAGTAGTAGTAGTAGTAGAAGTAGAAGTAGAAGTAGTAGTAGTAGTAGTAGTAGTAGTAGTAGTAGGAGTAGTAGTAGTAGTAGCCGTAGCGAAGGAGGTAGTAGTCGTAGTTTCATTCCTAGTAGTAGTAGTAGTACTACTAGTAGTAGTAGTAGTAGTAGCAGCAGTCGTAGTAGAGGTAGTAGTAGTAGTAGTAGTAGTTGTAGTAGTAGTAGTAGTAGCAGCAGCAGTAGTAGTAGTAGTAGTAGTAGTAGTAATGGTAGTTGTAATAATCGTAGAAGTAATAATAGTAGTAGTCGTAGTCGCCAATGTCGTTATCGTAGTAGTGGGAAGGGTAGTGGTAGTGGTTGTAGGAGGATTAACACAAGACTGAGAAACGCGTGCGAAAGCAAGATCACGACGACCATAGGACGGGGAAAAAGTCTTGTTCAACAACGCTTCCGGGTTGCCTTCGCAGCGTCAGCTGGGAGAACGGGGAGGGGGAAGGAGATAGGGCATTTGGCAACGGCGATAATGGCAAGGGCCTGACGCGTAAGACCCGCGCGTGGAATAATATCATACTGTGTCGCGCGCGACGCCGTGCGTGCTCGAGCCATGCATGCACACAAGAAAACCAAACAACCAACCGAAAATGCTGTTACACGCCACGTAGTGTTGCGCGTTGTTTCGCAATGGTGTGCTACGCCATGGTACGTGTCCTCCGTGATGCTACGCATTGCTGCAATACTATGCAGTACTATGCCTTCGCCACGCGTCGCACTTCCTGGCACGCGACGTATTTCAAGCGCGTGAGGCGTGCAAGCTCTGGACGGCACGTCGTCTTGCGAACCTTCAACATAACTTCCGCACGGGATTAATAACATTGTATCTTCAACCTCCACTTTTGTCAATTCTCCAAAAGAGATAATGCATGGTGCAGCCAGACAAAATACCCCAGGTATTTTACATTCCACTGAACGTTGGATAAACGACGACGGCGGCGGCGGCAGCGACGGCGACGGCGACTGCGACGGCGGCAACGGCAAAGGCGACCGCCAACGACGGCGGCGGCGGCGACCGGCGGCGACGGCGGCGGCGACGGCGACATCGCTGTCGTCGTCTCCCCGAGGCCAGGACCCAGCAGGACGTCGAAGGCGCTGCCGGAGAGCCTGCCCTGGTGACGGCTGACCCCGAGCTCCTGCGGGCTGATGCGGCCGTCGTGGTCCTCGGGCGGTCGCCGCCGCCGTAGACGTCTTCGCCGTCGCCACCGCCGTCCCCGATGCCGTCGCCGTCGCCATCGATGCCGTCGCCGTCGCCGTCGCCGCTTTGCCGTCGCAGCCTTCGCCGCCGTCGCCGCCTTCGCCGTCGCTGCCGCCGCCGCCGAGGCCGTCGCCATCGCTGTGGGCGCCGCCGCTGCCGCCGTCGCCGTCGCCATCGCCACCGTCATCGACGTTGCCGTCGCCGTGTCGTCCTTCTGCGATGGCACGGGACACGAAGCCAGCGGCGTGCCGTGAAAGCAGGAGAGACCACTGTGGCAGCGCTCTCAACATATTTATATATATATATACATACATGGCCTTTTGCCCCTGATGCTGTAATGTTATCAAAAATGTGCCGTCCATGATAATACGCGTGTCCTCTTTCCAAACATTGCCGCAACACCTGCAACCAGGATTTGATCGATACTGCTCTGCCTCCAGTCTGACATACATCTCGATTACTTTGTCCTCGAATTCGCCGTCGCCCAAGCCTCGACCTGCGCATGTTGCCCATCCGCGGATCTGTCCACCACACCCTCTGCTCATTCCAGAGCCTGAGCTTCTCCCCGACGCTCAGGCTCCCGCCTTCTCTTTTGCCCCGTTACAGCTCTGCGCACACCGCAGCGCTCCCGTCCTGCCCACGCTATCCTGCATGGCTGGACTTAGCACGACTTGGCACAAAATGGTCGCAGCACTCTTGCGACTGATTCGCATGGCTCGAAGGTTGCCACCGGTGTGCTCAAAAACGGTTGGCGACATGCTGGCAACCTGCTCGCGGCAAACTGCCCCGAGGGCCTATTCGAGGACGAACTCAGCTTGACCATGTCCGAGCCTCTCTTGCCAGGGTTGAAGGGCAACGTTAGGGGGGGACCGGCCCGGAGAGGGAACCCTCGAGCTGGAAACGGCGATGCATCGACGACAGATCGGCGGCAGACCCTGTAGGCCCCTTGTAGCGAGCCCGTACGCTGCTGAGCGGGGCGGGCTATCGGGCCCCCCTTCGGCGAAGAGTGGACGATTGGGGGGCGGTGCAGCCTCCCCCCCCCGCGCCTATCCCCCCGTAACTTTGTCACTGAAGTAGGGAAACGAACTCTATATACACCGACGTTTTTTCTGACCCTGCGCTGAAGTTCGCACAAGAACGCGGATCCTGGTGTATACGGGATCCTGGTGTATACATGTTTCGTTGTTTCCCGTGGAAAACGGGGGAAAGGTATACACCACACCACACCGACGTCGTCCCCGACCCTCAAAAAGTCGTGGGATTGAGAAAACAACCCACCACTGGTAATGTATATGTTCCAGTTTCCGATGACAAGGTGCGCGGGCCCGGGTCCGCACCAGTTGAGCGCGGTTTTTGAAGGGGCCCTGAGACACACTCAACTAAAAATACACGAATCACAAGATTCCCCATATTTTCGTATATGCTCGTGGTTTTTGTCTACCCCCCCACTTCCCATATCTTCCCATAGTTTCTGGAGAACCTGGGGGATCGAGGATTAATGGTGCCTGTGTGTTTCTTTCCCTCCTGAGTATTCTACCGGCGGAGACGAGCAGCGCGGCGGCGGGCCATCTCGAGGCGGGCCGTCGCGCCAGCCGAGGGACGAGCTGAGCGCAGCGGGCGGAGGCAGGCATCCGCCACGGCCCGCAGCAACGGCGGGCAGAGCCAGGCGGCGTCGACGGGCGGCGGGCGCCAATGGCGTCGGCCGCCGCGGAGGCGCCGAAGGCAGCCCTTTTGGACGCCCGAGATGGGCACGGAAAGAAGGGGTACAATGCCCAACAACAAATGTCGTCCCAAACCAACAGAGGCCACCGTCGGGCAGGCGGCCCTCTGTCTCAAGTGGGCACAGGCCGCGGCGACACCGACAGCGAGTCCTGTTCAAAATGGGCAAGAACTGCTGCTGCTGGGCACTGTACCCATTCTTTCCGTACCCATTCCGTGCGTACCGAGCCCTGGACCCTATGGACATCCTCCGATCTTTTCTGCTCTGTGTCCAGGGCCCCAGGAGGTCCCGACGCTTTCCCCGGGGTAGTGTCGCGTCCTGGATCCGTCTCTGCTGGCCCTGGGGCCCGATGACTGGCCACTGGAGCCGAAATTAAGGGAGACGCCTAGACCTTTACAACGGTATGATTATGGTACCTGTCGGCCAGGAGAAGTGGGTAGAAGCATGAAGTGGGACGGCCTTGAAAGTAGATTGACTTTCCGCCCGCACCCTGACGAGGAATCGCTCGATCCTTACAATAAGAAGGCGCCTGAAGTTGATTGGGACTTGGGCACCCCAAAATATTTACTTTCAACGACCGACGAGTGAACTTTCGACGGTCCACGCGGATTTCTTCGATCTGCGCTGGACCCCCCCTCACTGGCGCGCGGAGCGCGCCAGGGGCGGCGCTGGAGGCGCGGCCAGGGGGAGCCCAGGTCAGATCCAAGACATCTGGCGGACCTCCGCGAAACCATGCTTGGGCAATGTGTTGTCCTGCGAATCGAAGAGAAACGTTGGCGGCGCGCACAGGGGGGGTATGGTGGAGGGAGGAAGGCTTCTTAGAAGGAGGCTGCTTCTTAGAAGGCGACAGACAAGGCCCACGCCTTCTAAGAAGCAGGGGTCCTTCCAAGAAGCTTTCCCCCTCCTCCTACCCCCCTCTGCGCGTGGCCGAACACGCCCAGACTGAAGAATCATACTGCCGGAGATGTAGGTCAGCGGCGACAGCGGGGCGGCGACGACGACGACGACGGAGACGGCGACGGCGACGGCGACGGCGACGACGACGACGACGACGGCGGCGGCGGCGACGACGACGGCGACGGCGACGCCGACCACAACGGCGACAGGGGCGGCGACGGCGACGGCGACGGCGACCACGGCGGCGACGGGCGGCGGGGGCGGCAGCGACGACGACGAATCGAGGCGAAACGCCCTGATTGAAGAATCCCATCGACAGAAATGCTCGCCATCGCTCGGGTGTCCATTCCCCGTGAATCTCTCGATTCCGTGCATGTGCTTTTCTCCTAGATGATCCAATCTGCTCCTAGACGGTCCTCGCCGATGAAAACATGCACACGTCCGAGCGATACCTGGGGTACAGGCCAGCGGCGCCCGCGGCGCGGCGACGACGACGACGACGGCGACGGCGACGACGACGACGACGACGGCGACGGCGACGGCGACGGCCACGGCCACGGCCACGGCGACGATGTCGACGACGGCGACGGCGGCGGCGGCGGCGACGAAGCGGCGGCAACGCCGACGACAACGCCGACGGCGGCGACGACGGCGGCCACGACGGGCGGCCACGGCGGCAGCGACGACGACGGCGACGACGGGGCGGCGGCCACGGCGGCGGCAGCGGCGCCGCCGCCAAGGGGCACAGCGCGCGCGCGCGCCGCGTCCTGGTCGAGCATGTCCCACGCCGCCCCCGCGAGGCCCGCCGCGCCCACGGCGGCGAGCCCGGCCTCTCCGCCGCAGTCGGCCGCCTCGCCGAGGCGGCGCTGCGCCCGGAGGAGCACCTCTCGGGGCGCCGCGGGGAGGGGGGCAGCGAGGCCCCGATGATGATGCTGATGATGATGCTGGTGATGGCGTTGGGAAGTATCATCATCATCATCATCATCATCATCATCATCGTCGTCGTCGTCGTCATCATCATCACCGTCAGCATCATCATCTTCATCATCATCATCATCATCATCAGCATCATCATCATCATCACCGTCAGCATCATCATCGTCAGTATCATCATCACCATCGGCATCATCATCATCGTCATCATCATCATCATCATCGCCATCATCATCGTCAACAACGTCATCATGATAATGATCAGCATGATCACCATCTTCACCAACAACAGCATCAGCAACACCACCACCAACACCATCGACAGTATCATCATCACCACCACCATCACCATCACACCATCAGCATGATCACAATCACCATCACCATCACCATCACCACCATAACCACCACCATCATCACCATCGCCACCATCATCACCACCATCGCCGTAATCACCATATCACCATCAGCATCATCAGCATCATCATCGACATCACAATCATCATTATCGTCATCACCGTCTCCATCATCATCATCATCATCATCATCATCATCAGCATCATCATCATCACCATCTTCAAAATCTTGACCATCTTCACCATCATCACCATCATCACCATCATTACCAGCACCATCACCATCAGCATCCTCAGCATCATCACCTGCATCTGCATCAGCATCTTCATCACAATCATCATCAAAAACACCATCACCACCACCACCAACATCATCAGCATCAGCATCATCATCATCATAATCATCATCAACATCATCATCAGCATCATCACAATCATCACCATCAAGCACCATCAGCATCACCACCATCATCATCATCATCAGCATCATCAGCATCATCAGCATCCTCAGCATCATCAGCATCACCATCATCATGCTCATCAGCATCATCAGCATCCTCAGCATCATCAGCATCACCATCATCACCATCATCACCATCATCACCATCATCACCATCATCATCAGCATCATCATCATCATCATCATCATCAGCAGCAGCAGCAGCAGCATCATCATCATCATCATCATCATCATCATCATCATCATCATCATCATCATCATCATCATCATCATCATCATCATCATCATCATCATCATCATCATCATCATCATCATCATCATCATCATCATCATCATCATCATCATCATCATCATCATCATCATCATCATCATCATCATCATCATCATCATCATCATCATCATCATCATCATCATCATCATCATCATCATCATCATCATCATCATCATCATCATCATCATCATCATCATCATCATCATCATCATCATCTTCATCAGCATCATCATCATCATCATCATCATCATCATCATCATCATCATCGGCGGGGAGCGAGCGCAGACATGCTCGCGCCGTGGACCAACCATCACGACAGGGGGTGTTTGGCCGTTTGCCGTCTCCCAAAGGCCCTCCCGAGGCCAGCCTCGGGGCCGGTTCTGTTCTCGCGGCTGCCCCGCGCGGAACGTGTCCGTGCGACCGCGTATCACGGGGGGAGCGAAGGGGGGGGGGAATAGCAAAGGGTAGGGCCGGGCAGAGTAGAGAATCAGCTCACGCAGCTGATTCTCCCGGCGCCCCCCGGTGCCGGGAGGCGCCCACGATTTTCGGAAATGGACCCGGCGGGGCCGAAACCAGCTGCATGCAGCAGATTTCGTAACCCCCGCTTTCCCTACCCCTCCCTTCCGTTCGGCCCGAGTATCCGCGGGATCGCGCCCTGGAATCCAGACCGCGAGGGCGCGGATACGGATACGCTCGCCGCTCATGAGGGGGTGGAGCGGAGCGCGCACCGTCGGACCCACAGGCAGGCCCTACGAAGGCAGCGCGGGCGGGCTGGGGCCCGGAAGAAAGGGGAATCACGACGCAGAGCTGGAGCGGCGGCAGCCGGAGTCGGAGAGGCGGGAGCCGCTGCCAGAGGGGCGAGTCGGGGCGCCGAGGGAGCCCAGACATGCTCGCGTCGTGGGCAACAAATATCACGACAGTAGGCATTTGTTAGGTCGGACATGTCCCCCTACAGGCGGATTTGGGATGAAACATATACATGCCCCCAAAGCATTCAAAAATAAGCAAACAAAAATAGAAGAATCGTCCCCAAACTATTTGTTTACTGCTTTCGAATTTTCCTCCTGCGCAGGGACAGGCCCGACTGAAGAATAACACGGCAGGAGGCTTCTGCCGATTGGCAGCCTCCCAGGACCCTCGCTGGGCCCTCGAGGCTCATGGACCGTCCAAAAACGGCTCGGGGTGAAGAAAGGGGCCCTGGGACGCACACAAAAAAAAACACAACTCCCAAAATTCCCTTATATTTTCACATATACTCTGGGTTTATGTCTCACCCCCGATCCCCATATTTTCGCATAGTTTCCCGGGAATCGACGATTCATTGTGTGTTTCTCCCCTCCTGAGTGAAGCATTGGCCCCAAGGTCGGGACTTCCAGGGACTCCGCATGGAACAAAAACGCGACGCCGGATGTCTGAAGGGGTCGGGGGCCGAGGCTTCGGAATGCTGTCGGAGCTCCCTGGGGCGCCCGCGTTACTGGTTCCAGGAATCCTGAGCCCAAGAGCGCCCACCCTGGCCAGCCTCGATTGAGCACTGGTTCGCCGACCCCTGTTTCCATGGGCGTGGACTGGGCCCCACTGGCCGATCACCCCCCTACTAGATGGGGATATAGGCCGTCCCCTTCGGGCTTGGCGGGGTACATCCCCAAATGGGGTGGTGGGATGGTGAGGACTGGGATAGGATCGAGGACGGCGAGAAGGTCTGGTTCAAGAAGGGTGATTTCCACGGCTGTTGGGGCGCCTCAGGTCGTGCTGGAGTGCCTCAGGTCGGGCTTGAGGGACCTCGAGTCCAGCGAAACCAACCTTGACCAACGAACCCTTCTGTCGTCCCAGCATTCCTGTAGGCCTACCACGCAATTTTCTCAGAACCCACAAATGTTCTTATAACAAAAACAAGGTTCTTAGAACATACACCCGGGGTCAAAACGAGACAGCCCCAGCCAGAAAAGCTCTGAGAACACTTCGTGCAGACCACACAAGGTTCTTAGGACATTGTTTGGTACTCGTCGTTCACTTCTAATCGTGCTCATTTCTAATTGTGCTCGCTTCTAACTGTTCCTGGCCCCCTAGCGGCCAGGAAGAGGCCCAGAATAGAACACTTAGCAATGAAAAGGAGATTGGCCCCCAAGCAGATCAAAGAGCTCGCGAATGCTCAGAGATGAACCATGTGTAGGCCTACAGGCGAGCTGGGGCGCTTCGCCACTGCTTGATTTCAGAAGCCCCGGACCAAAAAAACGCCCACGCCCGCGGGCCTCCACCCGCGGGCCCTCCGCCGCCGCAGCCGCCGCCGCTCGGCTCCCGCCGCCTGTGCCGCCGGCCCTCCGCCGAGACAACGAGGCAGCAGCCTCTCGACTCCTCGCGAAGGCGAGGCCCTTGTCGCAAGGGCCTCGCCGTCAGTCGGGCCTGTCCCTCTACGGGGAGAGTATTCCAAAATGGCCAAAAACATAGCCTGGAGACGTTGTGTTGTTGTGTGACTATGTTTGAACATTGTGGGCGTTTTTTTGGAGGGTATTTCCAATTTGTTCGCCAAAATCGGCCTGTCGGGGGACAGGCCCGACTTAAGCCCAGGGTCGCCAGGTCAGCGGCCCCGCTCGGCGGCCTGAGGGCCCAGGGGGCCTCAGGAGAAAGGGGCGGCACAGGAGAGACCACAGCCCAAGGTTAAGTCGGGCCTGTCCTCCTACAAAGGGGATTTTTTGGAGGGGGAACAAATAATCAAAACATACTCCCAAATGGTCGAGAAATATTCAAAAATAGTCCCCAAACTATATTTTGACTATGTTTGAATATTCCTCCTGTAGAGGGACGGGCCCGACCTAAGCCCAAGGGCTGGCGCAGGCCAGTGGTGCTGCTCGGCGCCCTGAGGGCCCTGCAGAGAAGCCCCGGGAGGAGAGGGCCGCCGAGGGGAGACCACGACCCTCCACGAATCCCTTGGCCGGCCGCGCAACGGGCCGTGGCCGAGGCCCGCACCTTCTCGGCCGCCCCCGGAGTGGCGCCCGCCGCCGCGCTGGTGACCAGCGCCGCCTCGCGGGCGAACGTGCTCGCCTGAGGGCGGCGAGGGCATCGGGGGGAAACGCTGCGGCCAGGAACTCTTTTGCTTGGCGTGCCTCGGCGGCGGCCCCGGCGACACGCTGCCCTGCAAGCCGACAGCGTGGCGCTCCGCCCTGCGGGCCGGCCGGGAAGAGCTCGGGACGTGGACGCTCGGGGACTGGCACACGGTTAGCGTGTTGCGCCGACGCGTGGTGGGCCAGAACCGCTGGCGCGACGTGCTGAACCACAAGTCTTGTTGAGCAGGGACCGACCGTCCCGGCATTCCTACAGTTTGACCACGATCTGTAGGTTCTTAGAACACAAACATGTTCTAATAACGAAAACAATGTTCGTGGAACATGAACCTGATGTGATAAAACAAGACAGGCTCCACCAGAAATGTTCTAAGAACATTTCGTGGGAGCCACAAAAGGTTCTTAGAACATGGTTTGGTAGAGCTATATGCGACCCAGGACGCTGCGCCACTGCTTGGTGGTCTGCATCCAGCAAAACAGCCCGACATGTTTTTCTGCGGGGGGCCGTTGCTTCCGCAAGCCTTCCGCCGGCCGGGCCGCCCCCGCCCTGCTTCCGCCGACTTCCGCTGGCCTTCCACACAACTTGCCGCTGCAGAAGAGATGCCGGCTTCTCGTTACCTCAGAGGCGAGGCCATTCTTAGAGGAAAAAGAACGATGCACATACACCGATTTTGGCCAGGTCCATCCTGAGCCCAAGGTC